ATGGCCTGTGTTATACAGGAGGACAGACTAGAAACAAGATAATCACAATGGCCCCTGCCTTAGCATTGGAATCTGTGTGTCTAGAATGGTGTTGGAGTGTGCTTTTGTGAGACTGAAGGAGATCTCTATTGAAGGTATACATGAAGTACACTCTACAGCCATTGCTGCTTGTTGTGTGTCAGAATGGGTTATCCGAGGAGAGAGCACTGGGGTGCTGAGGCTGGACACGGCCCATTTTCTCAGCCAACTGGGAGCTCACAGACTATTACCGACCGTGCTATCCAGGTGAACATGAAAAGGGATACACTATATTTTGTTCATGCAGATATTTAAAATGGAGGAGGAAGAGTGAGATCTCCATGTTTCTGTGCACTGACCTTCTTTTAAGTCAACTGATAATGTAGTTATTGCTGAATGAACTAGAATGCCCGACTGAATTGTTTCTACAGATTATACACAGGGAAAGTATACACAAAGTATTTATTTAGACTGCACGCATTGGTCTTCAAGGGGAGGGGCAATGATGTTCAATGATGCTGGTGGCTTGCATCTGCCAGATTACTAGGGGTGATTGTTCTTGCTAATGTCCTCACAGAGTCCAAAGATATTTCAGATGGCATAGTCTTGTATTAGTTCCTCAAACATTTTAGCCAGAATTATTTTCTCTAGCGGTGGTATATAATGCTGTGAGGTAGGGTTGGCCTTAAGAGGTGTAACGGTATCCTCTAAGGGTATGTCTACACAGCAAAGAAAAACCTGTGGCTGGCCCATGGCAGCCAACTCGGGCTCCTAGGGCTGTGGAGTGGGAGGGCCCTAGAGCTCAGGCTCCAGCCCAAGCCTAGAAGTTTACCAAGCAATGAAACAGCCCTGCAGCCTGAGCTGGCTGGCATGGGCCAGTCACAGGTTTTTCTTTGCTGTGTAGACATACACTTAAGTGTAATATTCTGTCTCCCGTCAGCCGACCTGTAAAATTGTGGGGGGAGGTACTGACATTGTGTCTATTATATAAAACATTGGTGTGTAATTCATGTAAGTGTTAAACAGTACGTTCACATTGCTATTGGGACAAATTCTGTGCTGCCTTACAAAACATCCTTTGACTTCAATGGGGTTGTTTGGGATGTAAAGTAGTGCAAAATTTGGCGATGTTGTGTATTTTGAGTTTTTGAGACCAGCTCCTAAAACAGAATAGAATGTAAGAAATGTGAATAATTAAGTAGTTTATTAATCTTCAGCTTATTTTTCTATTATTTCCATTTCTCTATTCCATTCTGCCATCCCCCACTTTTTATTTATATTCCATTCTCTTCTTCTTTCACCTCCTCTTCCTCCTTTATCATGTGTCCTGCAACCCACCAACAGCAGGAAATTGATCCTTCACTGACTATAGTCATCACCCATGGCTCTCTCCTCTCAACTGGTCTTGAAAATTTTCCTTTGTGCATATATCCCCAATCACTTGCCCATTCTCTTTCCTGTCTCTATCCCCTTTATTTTCCTCCCCTTTACCTCACCCTCAGCCCCCCATCTTTTACCTTCTTTGTCCACTCCCCTCTAGCTCTCCACACTTTTCCCAACTCTCCTCCTCCTCTTGCAAAGACCCTTCTGGCTTTCATGCTCCCCCTCATATCTATTTCCCTCCCACGTCGCCTGTCACCCTCCAAGTTAGTTTTTCTTCCTCCCCTCCTTTTCCCCGCAAAACCCAGTAAGGGCAGGAGTTTCAAGGATCAGTGTGCTGATCAATGTGCTCCTAGGAGCATCGTTTCTTCAGGACTGGTCATCCCACTCCTCCAAAGCTATGGATCTGGATGTAACCCTAAAAAGTTGCTCCTTTCCATGATCCACTTAACTCATCATCAGGTTCTCCTGCTTCGTTTGCCATTCTCCAGTCTTCTTACCTTCCCCACATTCAAATCTCTTCTTAGCTTGTCTGGCTACAATGAAGCAGGGACTCTAATGTACTGGTCACCACTATTACTGGCATAGGGCCAGAATTACTGTGAGAGTGGTACTCTCAATCCCATCTGTCAGCAGCAGGGAGCTGCCAGCACTTGCTTGCAGCAGCACGAAAAAGGATGTCTCCCAGCAGGGAGCAGCTACTACTGTTGGGCTGCCACCATGTTGTAGCACTGCAGATGTTAGACACAGAGCTTGTAAGACAGCAGGAAAGACTAATTGCAGGGGGAACAAGTAAAGTGGGTACAAGCTAGAGATCTGGATGCCTCTGTAATGTGGTGCTGTTGGCTATCACAAATTAGTCCTACAATGTCTAGGGTTGCCACTGCGAGTCCTATCATTGTATTCAAGATCACTGTTTGCGCAAACATTAATTTTACATCCATTAGGTGAGATTCAGGTACCTGGCAACTTGCCAAGGCAGCCATCACTTGGGTAGAGAGTTTGGACACCTCTGTGCTATTGCATAACAAGGATGTAAACCAAAGGGAGTTATGACTTCTGTCCCAGTGAAAACAAGGGAACAAAATAGCCTACTTAAAAATCAACCTATTATTTCTAGAACGGGCAGTAAAAGAAATATTTTGAAGCCTTTAAGAGGGCATTACAAATGCTAGAGCATTAAGAACATATGGGTATTCATGTACTGAAGGCTAATATTCATGGCTGGCTATTTTCTAGTTTAAGGGAAGCTCCTCTTTACTCATCTATATCAATTAAGCTGGTTTTAACATGTCAGAAGGACCTTGAGGTCAATGGCAATTGGGACAAATTACAACATGGTTTTACGAAAGGCAGATCGTGCCAAACCAACCTGATCTCCTTCTTTGAGAAAGTAACAGATTTTTTAGATAAAGGAAATGCGGTGGATCTAATATACCTCGATTTCAGTAAAGCGTTTGATACGGTACCGCATGAGGAATTATTGGTTAAATTGGAAAAAATGGGGATCGATAAGAAAATCCAGAGGTGGATAAAGAACTGGTTAAAGGGGAGACTGCAGCAGGTCGTACTGAAAGGTGAACTGTCAGGTTGGAGGGAGGTTACCAGTGGAGTTCCTCAAGGTTCGGTTTTGGGTCCGATTTTATTTAATCTATTTATTACTGACCTCGGAACCGAATGTAGAAGTGGGCTGATAAAGTTTGCGGATGACACAAAGTTGGGAGGTATTGCCAATTCGGAGAAGGATCGGGATATCCTGCAGGGAGACTTGGATGAAAAACTGGAGTAATAGTAATAGGATGAAATTTAATAGTGAGAAGTGTAAGGTGATGCAACTAACAAGAATTTTAGTTATAAGCTGGGGACGCATCGGTTGGAAGTAACGGAGGAGAAGAAGGACCTCGGAGTCCTGGTTGATCGCAGGATGACTATGAGTCGGCAATGTGACGTGGCCGTGAAAAAAGCTAATGCGGTCTTGGGATGCATTAGGCGAGGTATTTCTAGTAGGGATAAGGAGGTGCTGCTTCCGTTATACAAGGCACTGGTGAGACCTCATTTGGAGTACTGTGTGCAGTTCTGGTCTCACGTGTTTAAAAAGGATGAACTCAAACTGGAATGGGTACAGAGAAGGGCCACTAGGATGATCCAAGGAATGGAAAACCTGTCGTATGAAAGGAGACTCGAGGAGCTCGGTTTGTTTACCCTAACCAAAAGAAGGCTGAGGGGGGATATGATTGCTCTCTTTAAATATATCAGAGGGATAAATACCAGGGAGGGAGAGGAATTATTTCAGCTCAGTACTAATGTGGACACGAGAACAAATGGATATAAACTGGCCGTCGGGAAGTTTAGGCTTGAAATTTGACGACGGTTTCTAACCGTGAGAGGAGTGAAATTCTGGAACAGCCTTCCGAGGGAAACAGTGGGGGCGAAAGACCTCTCTGGCTTTAAGATTAAGCTTGATAAGTTTATGGAGGGGATGGTTTGATGGGATAACGTGATTTTAGTCAATAGGTCAATAACGTGCCATCGCAGGTAATTAGTATCAATGGTCAATGCGGGTCTGGCTGGAGAATCTTGCCCACATGCTCGGGGTTCTGCTGATCGGCATATTTGGGGTCGGGAAGGAATTTTCCTCCAGGGTAGATTGGCAGAAGCCCTGGAGGTTTTTCGCCTTCCTCCACAGCAGGGGTCGCTTGCTGGAGGATTCTCTGCGACTTGAAGTCTTTAAACCATGATTTGGGGACTTCAACAGCTGAGTCAAGGGAGAGAATTATTCCAGGAGTGGGTGGGTCAGCTTTTATGGCCTGCATCATGCGGGAGGTCAGACTAGATGATCATAATGGTCCCTTCTGACCTTAAAGTCTATGAGAAGGGTCTTGAATCTTAGACAGGCACTTTATGTATGGTATAAATCCAAATAAATAGAATAGTTATTTTAAGGCTTAAATACTTCCTTACTATAGCGCTTTCAATAGTTAATACTGATACGGGCAGGCCATTTTAAAGTCTTGTTTTTCACTTGTTCATAAATTCTCTTAACTTTGTCCTTTGGGTTGAAACTTCATGTTTGAGCAGAGCCAAGATATGAATTCCTTATTTTATTTTATTTTATTTTATTTTATTAAGTGAGCATCATCTGTTCAGCCATTTCTGAAGTAATCAAGCACAAAACATACAAGAGTTGTGGGCATCCACGTTAAATTGAACTGTGTAGTTCAACTATTAAATGGGTAAGGAAAGAGTTACTTCCTGACTTTACTGCGTAAAGTAAGGGATTGTGCCACCGATGTGCAATGTATTATTTCTCTCATTTAAAGGCTAACTACCATCTTTAGTTTTACCCCCAAAAGAAAGCAAAACATTGTTTCTGCTATATTGAAATTAATAGTTTAAAAGTACAGAAATCATGAAATTGATAAACTATCTACCACATTACCTCTGCCATTATAAATATGTACTTTTATTTACTATGTGCACTATGGCTGTTATCATATAATTTCAATTTTGTGATTCATGTGTTCTCATCCTTGATGTGTACATGTAGGGTTTTTGCACTTAAGATAAAAGGTTGTATTTATAGGAACAAGCATCCATAAGGGTTACTGTAACTTGTTTTTATTAAAAAAACTAATTACATATGTCTATTTTCCAGTACATCTTTCTTTAAAAAGTACTGTATGTATCAAACATTGATGATGTACTTGATCACTGTTAATTTTCTTTGAAGAGCTGTCTAAAAGAGAAAATCACCCCAAAATTTATTGAAACTGGCTATATAGCCTCAAGATATTTAAACTTTCTAGCTTCTTATACGAGAGGCTTAGTACTTTATAGCACAAGAAAAAACATACCATTAGCAGGTAATATTTTGTCTGAATAGAATTCTTTTGGGGATGCCATAAACACAAAACTCAGACGAGGATTTATATAGTGTTTATGACTATTAGGAAGACTCACAGTTAAGTTAAATTTACCAGGAGAAATCTCATTTTTAAAAGGTTTTTGTTGTTGACATTTATACTTTTAACAGCTCTTCAAAGGAATAATCGTGCACACAACCTACAAACTTCTTGTCTCAGTGTAATGTACAACTAAAATTAAAATAAAACATGGAAGACCGGTATCTTTACATTTAATTCTTCTTTAGAAAAAAGAAGAACTTAAAAAAAAAAAATGTAGTAGTCCACTTGTGCTTAAAATATTCATATGCATGAGAAAGCCAAAAGGGAAAAATACACATTTTTGTACACCATGATCAAAAAGTTATTATAAATCTTTTGAAATTGCACTGTATTTAAAATGCCCCCTAGATTCAACTCCCTCTTCTATGTACAGCTTCTTATGCTGCCTGGCACAGTTCCTCTTGAGCCTAATTGCCAACCTGTGGAGGTCCTTCAGGGATGAGCGATGTGAAGAAGGTGGTGATGAAGGACCAAGCTGAAGCCATGAATCCAGGATGCTGCTCTGTACTGCCATCTTCACCTGCATCTTCTCCACTCTCTTCATCAATCCCATCATCCATAAGACGCTCCTTTTAAAACAGAAATTGTCTAAATGGTTTAATTGCTTTAATAAAGAGGCAGAATATCTTAATGGAAATAATTTCCTACATAAAGTAACCCTATTAACAGGGCAACTCCCTGTGAAGGATCTAGTCGCATAAACATAAAACCAATTCAACAGTGGAGTAAGTCTAAGTAGCAGTTCTCTATTAAATATTACAGACAAAGATGAAGGCAGTATTGATCTGGTTTTTCATAATAAGGCTTTAGCTTTTTGTTTTTAAATGTTTAATGATTAATTTCCCTTCTGTCCATCCCACCTATTAAGGTTACTTTTTTTTTTTTTTTTTTTTTTTAAAATATTTTTTTTTTTTTTGTTTTTCCCTTCCGTTTCAAGCTGAATTTTGTACTACTATTCAGTTACAAATACAGATTATTTGAAGGAGAGAGAATACAGGAAAACATGAAACATCCAAGTTGACATTCACCTACCATCTCCTCAAGGTCAGGGTTATTTACATTTTGTCCATCACGGTTCACTTCTGCATTGTTATTGGCTGCCTGTTGCTGGCCTCCCTCTTGCCTAAAGGGGAACCATCCAGCTTGGTGTCTATGTAATAAAATGAACAATTAAAAGCCTTGTCTCTCTAACTTGTAAAGCTGCTTATGAAATTTCTACAATGGGAAAATAACTGCTATCTACATGGCCAAGTCTCATTAAACTTACTTGCAGATGAAGAACAGATAATCCATTCTTCATCTTGATTGGACTGTTGGGGGAATACTGGAGTCTGAGAATTATTTCTAAGTAACAAAACTAACTGAAGAGATCCCTGTTAACCCAAATATAGAATAAAATGCTTCTTAGAACAGCTAATACCTATATTATTTTAAGTGAGCACTGAAAAATTCTGCTCACTAAGTTTTTTCCCCTACTTGCCTGTCAAAAAAAAAAAAAAAAAAAAAAAAAAACCACCCACACACCTTGATATTTTATTGATGTCAGTGATCATGGTAATGTGCAAGTGAATATTTTGTTCCTGAGCTACTCAGTTTTAATGATGTTTCTGACAGGCAGTTTTAAGTCGGTAGCACAATCAACCATATTTTAAGTTGAACATGAGAATGCAAAAATCTTAAATGCAGATCTTTTCAAATTTAATTCCTTAAAAATTACCTCTTGAAAGTAGCCCAAGATGAAAGTGCTATGTAATCATTAAGTATTTCTGGCACTTTCCACTTCCATCCAGATCACACTAGGTGCCTTCACCCTGGCTGAGATGGTATTTTTAAATTCATTAAACCTCAGTGTCGTTGTTAATGAATTTTGATAGCAAAAGGCAGTAGCTTCCGTTTTTTGTTGTTGTTGTTTTAAAGGGGAGGGGGGGTATGGTAAAACTTTCCTTTTCTGATATCGATAATGCCCCTGAATGTTGAATTCTGGAGTTTCTCCACGGAGCCCATACAAGTTACTGGGAACATTCAGTAAGTATATCTGTGCTTAATTCAAAATTGAGTTCAGCTTTACAGTTCACCTTTAAGATCCCCAATCAGTAACAATATGTAATTTACGTCAATGCAAACAAATGCTTCTGAAATCAATCGAATGAAATTCAATTCTTCTTTCACTCACCTCTTAAGTTCTGTTTCCATAATTCTATGTTTTCCCTGCAATAGTTAATAAGTTGACATCACCAATATCTAAAAAGCAGCATGTTTTAGGTGTGATGCCCATCAGTTTTTACAGGGGAAAAGGGAATCTAGAACTCAAGAATTCTATATTTTGAGACTACATCTGAACATCTGTTTGAAAGCCAAGTTTCTGTATGTGCCCTGTTAATGATTATTGTTAATTCTTCCCTTTTACAAATTCTTTGGAGTTCACCTTTACGTTGGAATTCTGTAAAGTGATCCAATTTCACACCTTTAAAAGTTAGCTTATAATTATAGTCATACACTGATAATTATACTCCATGTATCTAAACTACAACTATTCATAAATGAATATTTTTTACTCACAAATAAACCAGTAGCATGGCTCCCATTACCATGACAAACCGACTGAAGGAAGAATAAAAGTATACAATGCTGAGGAGAATAGCTGCTCTAGAGAATGTGTACATCCAGTCTAACCAGTCTCGATTGAAGTCCTCCTCATTCACTACTGGACCTCCTTGTGCATTCATTTGAACATTCTGGTTTACAGGCCTGTTGTCCTGTGCTGCTACGTTTGGCACTGCTGGGGGCTCATTTGCAGGAACATGCTCTGAATTTACAGGCTGCGCGACGGCTGATCTGACTGGCTCAGGGCTGGATGTTGCCTGGGCTGAAACTGCAGCTTGACTGAAATTTAAAAATATGTTTTCTGAAAAGCCAGCTTTGTATCAGAAGTAATAATATTTAAACCCAAGCTTCCTTACAGCTCTTTTGTACAGAGAAAAATGCCAGTTGAAGCACCAAGAAAACTTGAGATCTTAAATACAAGTATATAAAATATACACCAACTTCATAGATATTGTGTGATAAAGAAGAAATTCCTCATCTTTCTATAGTACCTCTGGACAGATGTGGCAGCTCTCACTCATCTTTTCCCTCCTCCATTTTATACCATTTAGATACATACAAGCAAAAATTCCCAAAATTAATTCAACTAAATTTTCCCTCTTCCACCAGAAGAGATGCACAGGATTAGTTTAAGTAAAAGCTCTTTACTTTTTGAGTAAAACATCAAAGTTTGGAAAATAACATGAAATTTCATCTTTAAGAACCATTTTATCATCAGGTAATAAGTATGTCTTCTCCGGGGTCTCAGATGATTGTGAGATCTAGCACAGAATCAAAGTTGCAGTATCTGGACACCACAAGGTAAAAGTAGGGAAGCTTTGGCCTCTATTATAACCCTCTTCCCAGCTGAGGATACGGCTTTTTCTGGACAAAGACTATGCCCACTCCATGCATCCAGTAGCAAAGTTTATTAGAGTAACACGCGGCATTACCTCTCAGTCAGCAGTTGTGTGCTGTCCCCATAATGTTCCCAGCCCCACCGCCAACTGAGTAAGGTGGAAGAGAGGAGAAGATCTACCTCTGGGACCAAAATTCTCATTCAGCATGATGCACTGACATTCAACAGGGCTACTTCCCTTGCTTTTTGGCCTAAAACCAATGGAATCCATTTTACTTGGCATGGGAGATTTTTTCTGGTCTTGCTAACCTCAACTTGAAAATACAATTTTTTAATGATAATTGTGATTTGAGCCTATTACTAGCTAACCCCATCTTGCAGAAGTGTTGCCTGGGCAGTACAAGAGCCCAATGAGTCTAATGTTTGTATCACAACAATTCCAGTGGTGAACGTTAATAAAGATACTTTCAAACAAACAGAAGAATTCCACTCTCAATCATAAAATTTTAAAAGGAATACATTTTTAGAAGCAGGCTAAGTAATTTTTAATTTACTAGCCAAATTAAGTTAAGTATAAAATAGTAAAACCAGACAAAAAAAGAAAAAAGAGGCAAGGCACAGAAATGTCAGTCACACAAACAGCAGCTATCTAGTTTTTTTATGGCAGGTTGTTATCGCGGCAGTTGCACTAGGACGATACATGAAGTAACTTACTATTGCATGTAGTACTGACGTGCATACATTTGTTGCCACCATATCATCTGTAATGGGCTGAATGCAGGGTACATTGAAAATCCAGTAGAAACACCTTGACCTGGAAACTGGTTGCCTATGTTGCTACAGGGAATTAAAAGCAAAAAAACCCACTCAGACTATGGCTATTAATAATTACAAATACATTTATTATTGTAAAATATAGATTACACTAAGCACTTTTTTCTTCATGTGCTCCATGAGAATTCAATATCAATAAAATTGTAAAGACATCCTTTGGATAAATACCTGATCCATCACACAAACGGTATTACTGTGCAAAATGAAGAGCTCTTTGTCAGAGATAAAAGGTCACCACAATTATGTGATCAATCCTCATTTGAATGTACCAACATTATTTCCATTCTAAAAAACATTTGTTGCATCTAGAAGCTCTATCATTAACTACATCTGACTAATGGGTTTGTGGCCAAATAATCATTACTAATTATTTCATTATTAGAAGACAAACTTCTTAAAATCAGAGCTCTGATCAAACAGTGTGTATATATTATAGGGAGGGATTATCTGCACTAGAAGACTTCACACGTTCAGAACCCACTACTACAGGCATTTCAAGAAACTATCAGTGTTTAAGGCCAGAAAGGACTACCAGATCATATATCCTGAGCTCCATCACATCACAGGCCACCAACACCATGTGCACACTAAACCCAACAACTGAAATTAGACCAAAGTATTACAGCCTACAGAAGACTGTTACGTGCCACAGGCAGAAAACAAGAGGGACTGAGGTGCGTGACTATCCAAGGCCCCGGCAATGGCAGGGAATTGATTAAAATGTACTTTAACTCTATTATAGCTTTCGCTTTGGAAGCAATGATAGAAATATCATGATTCACAACCACAGAATCAGCAAGGATTGACTGGGCATAGAAAACAAGCTACCCTCTCACCCCTAGAGGTGGCCCCTTTGCATCCTGGTTGCAAGACGCTGGGAGAACATTGTGGGTAACCTTACTGTAACACAGCTCATGCAGTCTGGTTTGTGGATAAAAGAACTTTGTGCCATAGGGAACCTTCCCAATGCATTAAATTCACATGCAAAAAATAAAGAAACTCCTACATGGAAGCTGAAGGAAGTGAAAAGTATTTTATAGCTCAGGTCACACAGTATGTTTTGGGACGATTCCCAATTCTTCCCAAAAAACTCTGGGGTTTCTTATGGCATCTTTCAATGGATTTCTCAGCATAAAGCAATAGTTTATTCATACTGCAGTTAGCAACAGTAGCAAATGCTGCAAATATACAGCAGGCTACAATTCTGTCCTGGGTAGATCACTGGCTGGAAAAGTGTTACCAAGAGATCCCACTAGTCCACCAAATATTCAGATAGGCAAGGAAAGCCAAATGAGAGGAAGGAGAAGTAGAAGCTATCAATATTTTTGAAGGAATTTTTCATCTTTGTTCACTGCCCAAAGCACTCAAGAAAGAAGAGAGATGATCATATTATGAAAATGTACAGAGTGGGATTTCAAAAGGAGACGCCAAGTGGGATGAGTTTGGCATAGCAAATGAACTTGGGACAGTATCATTACTTCACCCTTCTTGCTCCTGAGTTGAACCCCTGGATATCAGTGCTACCTTGGTATTATGCTGAGACAATTTGTAGGAGCGTAGCAAGTCCCTTTTTAAAAATATTTGGTATAGCTTAGTTTTCTTTTAGTTGTGCTCCACTCTCCAGTAACAAGCTCTGAATTTACTCTAGCAAGTTCTTCATTTTTGTGATCTGCAGCACATTCCAAAAAACCAAGCTTGTTTACAGTTGTTAAAAAAAAAATTCTATTTTTTCCTCCCCCACAGTGATGCTGCTTGGAAGTGGTGTTTGGAATTTGTGACTCGACTTCATACCACACTTGAAAAATTGTGACATGGTCTTAAAAAACAAAACAAAAAACAAAACAAAAAAGCACATTCTGAAGGGAGAGGAAGGAACAGAAAAAGAAGCTAGTCATAGTTAAGCCAAAACTACGGGAGACTTTAATAATACAGTGTCCTAAGCTATTTCTGCTTCTCTTACACCAAAACAATTTGCATGCTTTATTATTGATTACTGGAGACTAAGTTTCCTGAGAGGCAAGATGCACTTTCATACCTAATAATGTCAAACTCTGAGGCCCATTGAGTTTCTCATTTTCTATCACTCAGAGAAATCTTGGCTTCAGAGAAGCACTCTGTGATGCTAACTTGTCAAGCTATATTTGATTTACTTGGAAAACTCAACAGATGCTAGTACAAAAATAAGTACACAGCCAACACATTTGAAAGCTATCAACAGGGACATTTGGGGAAATACAGGGGCAATGCTTAGAACTCAATTAAATACATTGCATGGCAGAGTGGAAAAACAATATTTAACCAAAAAACTGACAGTCCCTCTCAAGTAAAGAATTGGTGCACTCTCTCTGGAAAGGAGAGGGAAAGAGGGAGCATGAGCAGCTTCCACTTTTTCCTCAGAATGGAAGGGAAAAGAGGCAGGAAGCAGAGTAGTCCAGGAGTTTGGAAGCCACGGAAGAGCAGGAAAGCAGAGCAGAACAATCTAGAACTACCTCTGCTGCTATTCCCACAGCAGAGGAAAAGCAAGCAGAACAGAGGCAGCCAAAGAAGAACGGAGCTGTGAGAGGCCAAGGAGCACCAGCATGTCCAAGAGTGACCGCAGCCTCAGAACATTCGTCCAAAGAGACAAGAAGCCCAATATTTCTTAAGTGGTTGAGGGTGGGAAGAGAGCCCAGAATTCATTAATTTGGAGGGACCCTGGTTTAAATTTTGAGTGTAAAGGAGAAACCCAAAATGTACTAAATGCGCTATGTATGGGAATAAGGTTTTGGAAAAGGTGTATTTTTTGCAGGGGAGAATAAGATTAGTGCATAGAGGAGTAGCACTGTTGATTTACTGGTGCGGGAATGAATATGTGGCAATAGGCATACCTTTGGTGGGGAAATGGTAGTTTTTACTCTGGCAAGTAGGCTGAGTCTTAGGATATGATAACATCAAATATTTTTCAATCCCTGTGTAACTCTTTTATTCAGAACGTGGTATCTGGTTAAGAATGGTTTTGGAAGGTTAATTATGTTTTGCAAATACCCACTATACTATCTTTCCAACATTTCATTTTGTTTGAAGTAATTGGTGAGCAGCAATGGTTGTCCTGGATATAAGGGGGGTCTACAGCAGAGCTGCTAAACTTGTTTTGTGGAGACTGCTGAATTATTTATTGTCCATAGGTTAGGGCCATATACCAGCCACAACAGGTTAATTTCAAAGTGGCAATGGAAGGTTAGCACAAACAGTATGTGATCCTTATACAGCAACTCAATTTTTAGTTAACTAACTGCTATATTTAGTATTATTAATTGAAGTAAAATGGTAGAGAGCATTTACCTGCCTTCTGTTTATTTAACCATATGCACATGCAAATCTGTGCCTAAAGTTATTTGGCAATGTGATTCCTGCTGCTGTCACTCTTCTTCAGAGCTCAAACCTCACTGGAGTAAACTGGTTCAGTTCACAACTTGCAGATTTGTTTCAGACTAAAACAGCAATGCACCAGGTCATTTTTACACTTTGCAGAGTCTGAGCATCATGAAGGCCAGTTAAATACATCATACTAGCAAGGAGTTTGACAATCCTGTTCTTCAGTGGGGGTGCACATCTATACAATATCCTTTGGCTCAGGTTTATGGGGTTCCACTGCCTCCCCCACACACCATTTCATCTCCTACATTATTCAGCCAAGCTGTCTCCTACCCAAACTAACAGGAAGCAAAACCACCTCCCCAGTGTTGTCACTGTCACCTCTAATCTTCTAACATGCTTAGATATCAAAATGACAGAAACTTAAAATGAATTCCTCTGGTCCTTTTGTATATATTCTATATTTTGCTTTTTTGGGGGAGGGAGGGGGGGATATTCTGTACAAGATGGGAGTTTTCTCCCATCATATAAAATCCCTAGAAACCAGGAAAGCAAGTTGCAAAGGGAGAGGGTGCAAGATGTGTGACTTTGTTTACACATTCCTGACCTAACCTCAAACACACTTTGAAAAAGCCACACCCCAACCTAAACTTACCCACATTATCTGGGAGTTTGTCTACATAGCCCTACACTTCAGACTACAGGAGTGCAAACTGCAGCACACACCCACTGTAACTGCCCCATGTTTACGTCAGCACCATTCACATGGGGCAGTTACAGCACAGCACTTGGGTGTGTGGGGGCAAACGCTGCAACCCACATCCCTGTAGTCCAAACTGCAGCACACTGCGGACATAGCCTAAGTGTTGGAGTTCAGATTGAGAATGGCTTCAAACAGAGGGTGTGCCTCAGATGAATGAAACTAGAAAGATTATTTTCTGTGGGAAGAATTTGGACTTCTTAGTAAGTTTTGTAAGGCGGTTGCACGTGTACTACTATGATAAGCATCAAAACGCATTTTATTTCTAAGTTGGATTTCCTTGGCCTGTCTGTGTATCTGAAAGATGACCATTGTGTTGTCCAGGTAGTTTGTGTCTGCATAGTTTAGACAATATTTTGCTCCACTGCAAAATCCTCCTCCATTCAAGATACCAGTCTCATTTTAGGTAAGCAACAGTTAAGAAATCCTAAGATTTCCAACATAATCCTTTTGTAAAAGTGTACTGGGTACTCTTATTTTTAAAAATATGTTGTTCCATTTACCGAAACCAGTTGTTTTGAATTATTAAAGAGCAATACAACTATTTTATTGACAATTTATTTTGTGACTACATAGCCATAGAAATAAGGGATTATAGGTGAGAGGGCCTAACCTAATAGTAACCGGTCCTTGATAATATGCTACTGCTATATGTACATAGTTATCTATGCTGATGACTCAGATCTCCCTCTTCACTCTCCTTCTGTCCAAACTAAGATCTCTTCCTGTCTTCCTGACACAAATATAAGCTGATGCTTGGCATCCACAAAAGGGATGGAACAGAGCTTTTAACCTCTCATCTTCCTCAGTCCCTCCTCCCTCAGTCACTGTGGACATCATCATCCTCCCTGTCATTCAGAACTGTAACACTGGTCTACAATTTTTGAGAAGTCGTCTGCTTCAGAGATAA